AGACCCCAGCCCTGCTCTCGACGTGGCCTCTGACGGCGTCTTTCCTTCCTGCTTTATTCCCTGTAAAAAAGACCCCAAACGCTGAGGTGTTGGTGGGGGTTTTGTCATACTAGAGATGCTGTAGAAGCAGCAAAAGAATGGAGGACGTGAGCTGAAAAACTGGAAGGTTTTTTTAGGGGTTTTATGTTTTACTTTTTATTTAAAATTAGGCCGATTGACACTAGTTTTGATTGTAATCCATATAATTCAAATGCCTGCTGCGTACTTTGGAGAAAGCATGCCTTTGTTAAAGATCGTACTTCCCTGGCTCTTCGCTTCGGCGTGCATCCTTGAACATCTAAAAAGGGTCACGGAGAAGAGTAGACTTCTTGTTGTTTTTTTTACTATTTCTATAGTAAAAAGACAAGTGGATGCCTCTTTAAAGGATGCTTTTAAAGGATGCCTCTTTTCTTTGTCTCTTCTTGCATTGCAAAAAGGGGAAAATGGCTCAAACCAGTTAATTAGAAGAGTTCTTCCGACAGGGACAGAAGGGTCAGGACAGTCCTTCACAGGCTGGCTGAGAGGACCTCAGCCCTGCCTGGCAAAAAAAAACCAAAACAGGTCTTCTGGAGGTTTTGTTTGTTCTAGAGGACAGGGAGACAACTGTGACTGGGTACTGCTGGAGAGGAGAACAAAATGTGAACAGCCCAAGGTTTTTATTTTTCCTTGTCTTGCTTAAAACATATGTCTTGTCTCTTTCTGTGGAAGTGTTTATTTAGCTAAACAACCCACAAGCAGGTGGGAGAAGAAAACTCTTTGTGAAAACCGCAACTCTTCTCCTCTACAAAAAGACTGAAAAAGCTCAGTCTTACTCCTCTGGCACAAACAGGGAAACTCTTTATTTCTTATAATGCCAGATTAGAAAGAAAAAAGAAAAAAACCCACAAGCTCTGGAGAGCTTTCTTTAACGTGAATGTTATCTGAAAGCAAAAGGCCAAGACCTGACATCTCTCTCCCCTTTTAAACATAATTTTTATCATCCCTTTTGACTGAGTGCAGCAGGACTGGTGCGTGCTCTGCAGAAGTCTTTGTTCCTCCGTGGCTGGGGTCTTATTTCTGGCCGTGTGTGCAGCTCCTGCTGCAGGTGAGGCTGTGCGGAGGGGTTCATGCGATGCTGCTGTGTTTTGTGAGTGTAGAAACGAATGTTTCCAAAGGGAGCGATCTGTCCGGCAGGATTGTGCAGAAGTGACACGCCATGCCAGTGCTGCCTGGAGCCCAGCTTTGCTGGGGAAGTGGCTGTTGGACCCTGCTCTGGGGCTGCCAGCGTCGTCTGGAGCAGGCGGGAGCCCCGTACCAGTCCTGGTAGGAGGGAGGGCTGCATTCAGACGGCTGCTGGCACGCGTGTAAGATGTCTGCACGCACCTAAGTCACCTGACCGCAAAGCTACCGTATCTTTGGCCAGGTGCGGTTGTAGGAATAATTATCTGATGGTTCTGCAGCTGATGGGTTTTTATTGCTTAACCTATGTGAAATTGCAGGCTGAGGGGCTGGGAGCGTGCTTTCAGTTCTCATCTGTAGATTGATTTTTGGATGCTAATGTTCAACACAGGGCATCTGTATTCCACTTTTCGTGTTCTGCTGTCTTGGATGCAGTCAGAGATGTTCTTCTGTATGTGTGGGGTATAACTGGGTCTCTTCCTGCCTTCAGCCCTGTTAAGTATTAACGACTGTGACTTTTTCCTAATACTACAGCAGCAGGCAGTCTAACCAACTAAAAACTTTGTTTCTCATTTGCCTCCCATCCCTTGAGGTCCATGTCTGTGAAGTGCAAAAAGAAGACAGACTCTAAAAGATTCATCAGCAGGGAATCGCTGATGCGCTGTGGAGAGGACTAGGAAATGGACCGTCTCTTCAGAGCTCAGTACGCATCCAGGACAGCCTCCTCTGCAGAGGAGGAAGCCATCGTGCGCTCTCTGCACGCTTCCCTGTGCCGTGAGCCGGCTCCCAGACAGCGAGCGATCACACGGGCCCTTATGAGGTTAATGCATTACGTGCTGTGCACAAGCAAGATCTAGAGCCGAGAGGGGTACTGAAGCCTGGTCCAAGGCTTCATGACATGACCCTGGCACCTGGCTGTTAGGGCAGTTGCTCAGGAAGATGTTGTTATCTATTTACTGGACCAAGGATGTGCATCCCCATTCGTTTGGGAAGCAAAGGTGCAGTTTTGGCCGCAGGAATGTGGACGGTCCGGAGTGAATTTGTTCCTTTGCGTAGATAAATAACCATCTTGTTCCCTCATTCCTTTTTTCAGCTGTGTAGTTCCTGCGTGCTCCCCTCCTTGTCCTTCCTCAGCTGTATCTGCATCCAGATCTCTGGTTTGTATTCCAGGGTCTTTATTTCTGTCTGCCTCAGTCCTGAAACTGCCCTGGAAGGCTCTTAAGTGCTTTTGTTGCTGCAGTTGACGGGAGTAAAGCCTTCCAGGCTGCATTAGTGCTGCTTCAGGCTGGCAGGCAACAGATGGAAAATAAACTAGTTCAGGAGCTCTGGGGATGGTAATGGTGCTGCAGGCAATAGAGAATAAACACAGTTAAACAGCAGAATACAGAGTATTTATCCTTGCAGCTTTAGGCTTTCACGGGGGTGGCAGGGGAAGCTGCCCCAAATGATGGGTCACAGGGGATGTGCTGCAGGCTGGCTGGCAGTGATGGGCCTGTCCGACCTGCTGTGTGTCTCTCTTCCTCTCACACCAACGTGGAGCTCTGTTGTTCTGCCTCCAAGTTGTCCCTTTCCCTTCAGTGCTGAGTGCTGCCGAGTGGAAATGACTAGAAGCATCTAGAGCCTTTCTGGGGCCGCTCCAAGGGAGATACTGCATTTCAGTGGTGTTTTCCACTGGATGATCTCCATGTGGGCCTTGCAGAGGGAGAAACTGCGGCACAGGGTGGCTGTAGAAGTTTCTGGAGAAGACCATGGGATGTGTGGCTGCCCAAGGTATGGTTGAATGAGTAGGCAGTGCTCCCTGCGGAGCAAGGGGCCAAAATGCTCTATCTAGTCCTGAGGCTGGAGATTTGGAGGGGAACCTGACTCGAGCAGGGCGGTTTTGTGCAGTAATGCTGGCATGGATCTCAGCACCGGTGTAAGTTAAGTTGCTTTCTGCAGAGTTACAAGGGCTCAGTTCATTTCCTTTGTGTTTTTGTAATGTGGATACTCATGTATTTGACTGCCTTTGTTTCACTGCACATCAGTTAATTACAGAAATCATGATCTCCAGGTGCTCTGAATATCTGCAGGTTTAGGACTAACTGTCTGGAAAAAGTTGGAAATTTTTCTGTCAAAAGATTTTCAGGCTGACTCTGAGCAAATGATTCAGTTTGAATTACTCAGCCAGATGTAGTTTTAATATGCTCATGCCAACAGTTCCTGGACACCGATCCCTATTGCAAATAGCACAAAATCCTGCCAAGGGGCGTTAATCTTTCGATTTGATGGCTGTGTTTGTGTGCTGGAAAGAATGCAAATTAACTCTGAAGCTGAGAGGGGCCAGAGTGAATTTCTTCAAGAGGTTGGACTGAAATCTCACTTGCCTCTTCTTCCCGAACTAGGAGCTGGCACTGAAGTCTTTGGGAAGTGAGGGGCTCTTTCTCTTTTCTTCTCTGGACACAAACAACGATCTGTACCTCAGTCCAGAAGAGTTCAAGCCGATAGCTGAGAAGCTGACGGGTAGGTATCTGTCTACCTTGCAGAGCTCTCTCAGCACAGACTGAACAAAAGCCAAAGAGAATGCACTCAACAATTTTTATTCATGTCTTTATTTTTTTTCTGGGTGCTGTTTTGGGTCTTACTTACATGAAGAGAGGCTGCTAAGCTTTACATGTTTTTGAAAAGGCTTAAGCACTGGACATCAGTTTCACAAAGTAGAGTTTTTATAAGACGGAAGATCCCATTGCTGGACTAGCAAAGTACATAAGTTACTTTGTCTAGAGCTTAAAGGGGATTTGGGATGGGTGAACGCAACAAATACAGCTCAGCCCAGGCTAGGCCAAAACTATTAGTGAGTTGCAGCGTTTCATTCATACGCTCCTCTGGCTGTAGCGGTCTCTCTCAGATAGCGATTGTGAAAGATTGTGTTTGGAGACTGTATCAGCGTGTAGCAAATGTCCCTTGGTAGTGCCAAGCAGGAAGAAGTGTGGTGAAGATCAAGTAGAGGAGAGCTTACAGTGCAGTTGAAATACAGACAGTTGTTTGCTTGTGCTGTAATGAATTGGCTAAAGCATGTGTTCTGATCTCTCCTAGGTGAAATGAGGCTCCTTAACGGAGCCGTGGGGTTTAGAGAGTCGTCCGCTAAAAGGAGGGCTCCCCTTTAATTCATGCAGCCGAAGCTGGTCTCTGGGGTGGGTCTGAGTTCTGCCGCTGGGAAACTCCCAGTGCTCCTGGATTTGCCAGGATAAATGTGTAATCACTTCCCAATTGCTTAAAAGGGGAGGGAGGAGAAACAGCTGCTTAAATTCCTGTCCCTTTGTCTAGGGGTTGCTCCCATCTCAGAATTTGAAGAGGAGGAGACGCCTGATCCAAGTGGGGAGACGTTGTCCGTTGTGGCTAAATTCCAGCCTTTGGTCATGGAAACGATGACAAAGAGCAAAGATGGTTTCTTGGGAGTAAGTGTGATGCAGGATGTGTGTGGCCAGAAATTGTGGTATAAACATGTCCAATGGGCTGGTAACATCACCAGGAATAAGTGCTAGCACATTAGGAGGGGGAGATGGTCTTGCTCAAGCCTGTGGGATTTGCTTTGATGAGCAAGCTCACTGCTTTCTGCAGTGTTTCATTGTTTTCAGTGCACTCAGCAGCACTATGCCTCAATTAATACACCCTTCCGGGGAAGCTTGAGGCAGACGTTAGAGATGGCTCTCCTGGAGCTAAGTCCAAAACAGTGGTGTTATGTGGTATGTTGCCCTCTCTCCTGTTTCCTGTTATTCACGTAATGGAAAGTTGACAGAACTATTTGGTGGTGTTTGGGATGGTAGGAAGAATTTAAAATGTGATATATTTTTTTTCCGCTTCTCCAAAGCCTGCTTACATCCATGAGCACTACTGCACGTTTGAAGAGTCCGGTCTAGGCTCTGATAGTGTCTTTTGTTCACAGATTTCTCATGTTGCTCTGTCTGGGCTGAGGAATTGGACTGCCCCAGCAGTCCCTATGAGCATGATGCTTGCCAGGCAGTTTAAAGCCTTTCTTCCTCCAAAGAATAAACTGGATCTTGGGGATCCGTGGTGGATAATTCCTAGTGAATTGAACATCTTCACTGGGTATCTTTCCAACAACAGATTTTACCCTCCGCCTCCCAAGGGCAAAGAGGTGAGATATGAAACTCAATTTCTATATATGTGAGAGATAGTTTGTATAAATGTTCTGCCTTATAGCCTAGATGAATCGCAGGAATCCCTGGAGGGAAAAGGCTATTGCATTATGTCTCCCTGGACTTTCTAAAGGAGCAAAAAGGCTGCGGTGTACAGCCAGGAGCACTGTCTCCTAAAACTGAGAGCAGGCAAAAGCTCCAAGCGTTTGTCATGGCCGAATGAGGCTCACTTGAGTAACTTCATCTTGCTTTGTTTAAGTGTTTGGGTTTTTAGGCTAGTCTTTCCCGGACAGGGAGGGGAGAGGATTATTCAGAAAGCACTTATATGAAGTGATGGTGCCTTGTGGAACAATTGCCAAGTGCCACCCCAGAGGTGAGGGTTTCATTGACAAATGAAATGATGTGTATACATAGTTTGTAAAGCCAGGCGTGTATATCGCTCTCCCCCGGGTTGCCGGGTAGGTGTTAGCGATCACTTAGTTGATATACCTTCGCAGCCTGGTGTGTTTATTGATTGCATACCCACTCTTTCAAAGTCTTAAGTAGTATTGATGGAGGCAGCCTCGTAGATCAGTTTACCATACTCAGACATCCAGCCGACTGGGATGATGGAAACTTGCAAACAATGGGAATATCATAAAAAGCATGAAAGACAGGTTTATTTTTAAAAGCAGTCTCTTGCTTTATCTCCTTGTTTTGTGATTAGGTAGGTCTCTGAGCTAATTTTTAAGTCATAGCAGTTCTCTTGCTTTCATGATCTGGTGGGGAGTTACTTTGGAGCTGCAGCTGACCTGCAGTGGAGGAACTGTTCTCATTTTTGCTCTCTTACAATTCTTTCTCTAGATCATAATCCACAAGCTTTTGAGCGTGTTCCACCCACGCCCCTTCGTAAAAACCCGCTTTGCTCCCCAAGGAGCTGTGGCCTGCATCCAAGCCGTCAGCACCTTCTACTACACTATAGCGTTCAGGTAAGGCCATGGGTCCGGGATGTTAGGGTTGGGGGGCACTTCTGAATTTGTTCCGTATCTCAGGGAAGTGGAGAAGGCTGCTGTGAGCCGGTGGCAAAGAGTGCGTGTGTCATTGCATGTGCAGTTGTGCTCCCAAGCAAGGCCAGATGTGTCCTGGCTGGGAGAGAGGCGAAGCAGTTTGAGGAAGAGGCTGGTATCACAGGCAGCTCTTGCCTGTGTGAGATGCTTTGCTGGTGCCTGAGTTGGGTACCCACGCTCCCAGTGTCACCGAGTCCCTGCTGAGGCAGGGTCTGTTGCCCAGATGCAGGACAGCAGCCGTTCTCCATCACCCTTGGTTTGGAGCTATCCCTGGCTGAAAGGGGAGAGTCTGTTTAGCAAGAAATTTGTTAGATTTTGGTTATTTGGGGGCTGGAGTGCCTCTGCAAGGGGGAGAGTCTGGGGAATTGTTCTCTTGTCCTACTGGGAGTGTTACACACAGCTTTTATTTGCCTGATCAAGCAGGAAGGGGGGCTGAAGGGGTCTTAGTCTGTTCCTGTGTTTCAAGGAATGGTAACATAATTCGTCCTTCCTGGACGGACACTTACTGCCCAATTCCAAAAGGCACCAATACTGGAGATGATCCTGACCAAGGGGATCTGCTCCAGTCTTTTACTCTCTTCATTGTGTGACATGAAAAGCTTTTTGAACTGAACCTCTCTGCCCCAATTTAGCTTCATAATTTCTGGTGCCTGGAGATAACTTTTCCCTGCTGTCATCTGCAGTGCATGATCCATTCCCTCCTCCCGGCACTGCAGCTGACAGCTCCTTTCTCGTTTCAGGATCCACGCTGAGTTCCAGCTGAACGAGCCACCAGACTTCCCATTCTGGTTTTCCCCAGGCCAGTTCACAGGTCACATCATCCTCTCCAAGGATTCTTCCCATGTCCGAGAGTTTAAGCTCTTTGTCCCTAACAACAGGTACAGCTGTTTCTCTCTCTTCCTGGGTGCTGAACAGACTCAAAGGTTGTTATAAATGAGGCCCAGTGGAAGCCAGGGGCTCTGGGATCCTGTCCTGTGCAGGACTGGGGGGCCATGCATGGGGGGAGGCTGGTGGGCTCTTTTTATGTGAAGATAGGAGTGCAGTGACCCGTGCAGGGAAGGCAGATCTGCAGTCTACTGTTTGCTTATCTGTTTTCCCCACACATCCTTCTCTGCCAGCGGTCATCACGGTCATCATGTCCTCAATTCTCTAGATGCAGTTACTGCCTAAACTGGTTCTGATGCAATTTTTCAGGAATATCTCTGTTTATCAACAGGTCTGGGGGACATCTGGCTTGGAAGAGGCAGGGAAGGACAAGGGCAGAGGAGGGACAGGGGAGAAGCAGGGCAGAGGTTGCTGGGGACATGGAGCATGGGGCTGGGGATAGTTGTCCTTGCACCACCTGGCTGCAGCTGGCACCTGCTTCATTGAAGTGTCCAAGCCTGAGCTGTCCTGTGCCAAGCCATTTCAGAGGGAGGTACCTGCAGGCACATGGGAAGACACACAGGGATGGGGAATTTAAGTTGTCCTGATATTGCCCTAGAGCCAGGCAGCAACCTCTTCCTTAGTAGCACTGCTGCAAGCATTGCTCCCCTTGGCCGGACCCAGCAGTCCCTGGCTGTTGCAAGCTGCAAAAGGCTCCTTGGGTGTCTGTGATGGATGAGCTCATGCTTTTCAGCCAAGTTCCTGGAAAATCTGAGTGAACTGAGCTCTGCAGTTGCCTATAAAACTGGCAAATGTATCTCTACTAGTCGCTGAGGATCCCTGACCCATTTCAGGGTCTGATTCACTCACCAGTAACTGTCCTTGGTACTTGGAGGATGGGGAGAGATAACCAGGGTGTGGAGAGCAGCCCCTGGCAATCTCAGTGCCTGGCTTAGAGCACCAAGGTTCAGCAAAGCCTGATGCTCTTGCTTCAACATACTTTTTGTTTGGTGTTTCACAGGTTAAGGTTTTGTGTGCATAGCTTTGCACTAGCTCATT